GAAAAAAATAAATTTCTTTAACTCTTTTAACACGACTCACAGCTTTGTGTCGATCTATCAAATAAAATCCCAATAAAATACATAGAAGTTTGAGTTTCTCTTGTGACAAAATGTGAAAGAGGCGTGAATATTTTTGTAAGGAAGTATTAACATCCTCAGTAGTAGTTCCTCACTAATAGGGTCCTGTGTTGTTTCAGAATAGTCGGGGTCTAAAGTTTTCAACCAGCCATATCTCCATGTGGAGTTTGGTGACTCCCGTCTCCAAACTTTTCATTGTATTATACCATCGAATTTTAGGTCCGGATTCTTTTTTTTTCTTCCAATCACAGAAAAATGTACTCCAGTTATTTGAACTCATATGCAAAGTGTTTTTATTTCTTCTTTCCTTTCTTCTTTCTTTCTTTCTTTCTTTCTTTCTTTCTGGCCTTTATTTGTTGTAGAAATGGTTAAAAACCTGAAAATAATGCCTATTCAATCCAGAAACTGTGAATGGGAGAGTGGAGATGTCAACTGTATGTACATTCTATGTTTTGATGTAATCAGAAGCACTGGGAATATGTTGTACTTCGCTGTAAAAAAAAATCCATATCTGATATAGCTGTACTTTTGTTGAAAATAAAACCTCTACCGAACGCCGTGTCGAGGCATCAGTGTGTGAGCCGGGGAGCGGGGGGCATTGTTGTCCAGTTTCCTGTGGTGTGACATCACATCCTGTTTGTAGGAGCTGTTTCCAACACATGACACATTCACTCCAGGAAACATCACAAAGGAAAGATTAAAGGGCATGAGATGACCGCTGTGGTATGGCAGGAATAAAAGGGACCACAGATGGCGGCCAGCCGATGACTGCGCTGCTATGAATAAGTGATGGGAGTTACGCAAACGTAGCTCCCTCATGGCCACGCCATCAGAGGCTGTTCACGCCGCTTCCTGATGTTTTCAAGTCCCAAGAAGCAGGTTGTTTTGTTTTTTCTTTTGCAGCTAAGATGAGAGACGCCCCGGCAGGATGCAGCCTGTGTGTGTATGTTCTGCTTTAACCGCGTCTACATTCAGTGGCTCTACGTTCAGTCGGGCTGCAGGAACGTTGTGCTGTGTGACTGTGGTCTCTAGTGGTCGGCCACGGCGCTGCACTTCCCACAGATTTCCACTTCATGGACTTCCTCCTGATTATCCTTCATCCTAATCTAGTTCTGATGAAAATGAAAAAGAGAGATCACATCTCTCCTATCCTGGCTTCTCTTCATTGGCTTCCTGTTAAATCCAGAATAGAATTTAAAATCCTCTTTCTCACATATAAAGCCTTAAATGGCCAAGCTCCATCTGATATCAGAGATCTGATTGTTCCTGATGTTCCCATTAGAAAGATGATTGATGCTGGTATTCTCCCCCCTTTTCTCTGCCACCCCGAAATAAAATCCAGTGCAGTTGCCTTCAGAAGTGACTAGTAAATAGTTAGCTTAGAAATTATTTAAGTTTCAGTGATCAGTTCCATTCATTATTGGAAAGATAAAGTTTGGTTCACCTGTAAACCTACAGAGACTTTAGGATCTACTAAACTAACT